TCCCTTTTCCCGGAATAGTATTTACCCCCGGGGGGGATTATCCCCCCGGGGGGGGAGGGCCCGAAAACCCCCCCCCCATGAAAGGGAGGGATTTTCTTGGGTCCCCCCACGAAAAAGGTTTTGGGGTTTTTTTTCCCCTTTTGGCAAGCCCCCTTTTTTTTTTTTTTTGTGGATGGGGCCAGGGACCATTTGTACCCCCCGGGGGGAAAAATTTTGAAAAAGCAGGTCCCCTTTTGGAAAATTTTCCGGAAAGGGGTTTTTAAACCTTTTTGGAAACCGGGAGCCTATTGGGTTGTTAGGGGGAAAATCCCGAAAAAAGGTATTTTTATGTTCCCAAATGGGGGAAAAAATTATTTTACCCTTTTAAAAAAATTTCGGAGCAGGGGTAAAGGAAGGGCTTCCCCCCCCCCCCCCCCCCGCTCGGTGTTTGCCATCGGGATTGGGTTTTCGTCGCTTGGCACCGACGTTGTAAAACAAGCCAATTCACTTCGTGAAGTCGGCAACCAGGTTACCGTTTTTTTTTTTTTACCTCGTTTTTTTTTTTGGCGGTAACCGTAATGGTGGTCGAGTAGATCATGTTGTGCGGGGTGGAGAACCCTCACTCCGCGCAACGGGGGATGATGGCACCACGTTGTGTTAAAATGGTCAAGCACCCTCGAGGCAGTTACACAGTGCTTATAACTGTCTCTGGAAGTGAAAGCACCAGAAAATAAATTAAGTCATACGTAGCTGTCATCCGTACGCAAGGAAGTAAGCACAAGATGCCGAACACCCTTAGCAGGATGCAGCTCACCCTTCATGCGACTCGCCAAATACCTCACGGTGCTTCGCGCTTGGTGATGTGAGAGCCTGGTCCGGTGAGAACCCGGCGTGCTCCGTCCCGGCTTTGTAGGGATGCGAGGTCAATGGTCTAACGACTACGGCATGCACGACTATGAGTACACCCCCCCCCCCCCCTTCTCGTATCTCATATCAAACCGTGTCCGCTTTCTCTCGCCCGCTATGTTGTATTTCACACCAAAACAACGACCGTTCCTGCAGCTAATGGATGAGCTTTGGATCCGGTTGGGGCACCTCGGGTGGGCCGTTAAGGAGATCATCCACGACGACGAGCGACACCCTTGCGAACTCGTGCAGGAACTGGCGGGGGCGGACATCCTCTTGACAGCGCACGGGTTCCAGGTGCGTTTGTCAACGTTAGTTATTTTTTTTTTGTGTGTGTTGAAATCAGACTGCTGAAACGAAGCTTGATACGAACATAGTCCCTTAGCATGCGGGACTTGTTCAGGACAGTGTTGGGTCTGGCATTTCTTCACGGCATGGCTAGCTGTTCCGCCCACGACACAGGAGTGGTTCCCTTCAAGAGGCCGCGATCAGGCGGTTACAATCCAACCAGGTTCTCGTGGAAGCTTTTGACTATTTGGGAAAGCTTCTTCATGTCAGGACGCACGCAACTGCAATCTCCCCTGCGAAACGAGCCGCCGCTGAACTGTCTCTTGTTTTGCGCAATCCTCGGCCGTTGTATGGTCGGTAACAAAACCAACGGGGAGTGTACTTGGGCTGTCCCGTAGGTGATTTAGGGTTCTAGCACATGCATTTTCGTGATTGGAACCCTTGTTTTCTCTACAAAAATACTAAGTACCTAGTTTTGAGTGTTGGCCTTCTGGACCAGCCCCAACCGTCCGACTGACTGCCTTCCTGATAGGATACACGGCCACAATAATGCCGCATAGCTTCAGGTTCTCGCTTTCTGCGATAAAATCACTCAACACATCCTCCGATCCCCCCCCCCCCCCCTCCTCCCCGTCGTTGACGTCGCAGTCGATGCTATCCCTGTTCATGGCGCCCGGCTCGCTTCTCTTTGAGGTGTACCCGCACAAGTACTACAAGAAAGGCTATGCACCGATGGCTCAGAGCATGGGCCTCCGTTACGCGTATTCGGAGAGCCCGCCGTTGTTGCCGTTCGCGTTTTGGTCGTGGCCGTCCGTGGAACAGTGCATGAAGTGGTACGTATGCCGCCGGTATATGCGAAGTTCGGACGTTGTGATCACAGAAGATAGCATCGAAGTGCTCATTAGCCTCATGCTTAAGAGCTTGCGTGTTGCCTGAACGAGACGCGGCGGTTGACGTTGCGAAAAATCTGTTTGTGGAAGGTGTGGTAAGTGCAGTCTGGTTCCTTGTCTTTGTTGTGTGCTTTTAGTGTTTCGCGAGTCTAGCATGGTTTGATGAGCGGATTTACAGGTCGCGGGACGCCGCGCATGTTGCAGTTTTGGACGGGATCTGGGGGGTGCGCACAATCGCGTAGCTGCCGCTTCTGGGAGTGGTTATCGATGCCCTGCAGGCTAGCGCATACCTCTCGGCGTAAGAGCAAAGGTCCTGTCTTTGGCCAGTCTCGCCCAGACCGTAGAGCCCCTTTGGGGGATTCAGTCATATTCTTGTGTACTATGTGTTGATCGTTGTGGCCATGAGCCGGATTCTAAGCGTGAGAGTAATATATATCTTCAGTGGGCGTTCGGTGCAGTTTTTGTCGTTGTGTGCGTGTGTGCAAATTGTATCAATTGGTTGATCTTCGAAAGGATCGGGATTTCGTTTTGGGTGTGCCTACTACAGCTGCCGATAGCCTGAAGCAGTTCAGTTCCGTGCCTAATCGTAAGAGTAACCACGGCTTGAGGTGTTTGCGCTGAATTTCCGCGCTTGCTTTGGTGTTCCGTTGGGACGAGTAGCCAACCTAATGCGGTTCAAAGGGCGTAAATGACACGGTTGTCCTGTCACGTGGCTTTTTGGCCTGTACAGGAGTGAGCACTGGGCTTCCTGATCAGACACGCTGCGATGACTGCCCCTACCATTTCAAGCATTGGTGTTTCTGCTGGTGCTTTGGACTTTGGAGTGTTTGGAAGAGGAGGCTTTGTAAAGCGTGGAGAGGGGGCGTACTTTGGAGCCGATGCTTCACGGATACGTGTATTTCTCGATGAAAATAGAAGGTGGAGAGAACTGCTGTAGTTTACACCTCTGACTGCTGTGCACTATCATATGTACTACTGTATCCCATCGGTTTCGCAAAGAGAAGCATCTAGGAACTGCGGGCCTCGTGAGACCGGGTAAAGCATTGGATTACCAACTTACTTTTCTTGCTTAGTAACGGCGCAGCCCGGGGGGCGGGCAGACTAATCGCTGGGTGTACGGAGCGATTTTGCACACGTGCAAAGACTAATACTAGTCTGTAGTGGGAGAATACGCTCGCCATTGCGCGACGTCACAAGGCGAATATGATCCACACCGTTGTCCTCCCCACCGGCATCACACCCCAACAGAGTACTGTATCCATAGTGCGACGACCTAACTGTCCAGCACCTGCGGCATCGTCATCTGTCGCAGAGACAATCGGGTCGAACGACAATCAAATATGCTTGTCGTCACAGCATGCGCGCACTACTGTTTCCCATTTTCCTTCATGTGTCTACTTCGGAGAGGTCTCCGCATACCGCTACAGTGGCCATCCTAGTTGGGGGATGCCCGAAAGCTTGCCTGGACAGGGCCACCGGTGTAGGCCAAGCTACTGTCTAGAAGTCACAGCTCTATTGTAGACGTGTCTATGGGTGAAACACGTCAGGATGCGGCACATCCTCCTTTTGATCCCCGCGCCCCTCCGAACCGTAACTTACGAGATACACCGCATATCTTTAGCCGGTGGGAGGTGGGAGTGTGGGGTGTGCATTTCAGCTTTCGACCTACTCAACCTGAGCGACTTCAGCCAGAGGCAGAGAGAAGGAGAGGGAGAGAAAGAGGGAGGGTGGGTGAGTAAGAAAGGGGCAGAGAGGCATCGAGAGCGATACGGAGAGAGAGCAAGAGAGAGGTGAGCAGACGCAGAGTACTGGTGTAGTCTACAGCTGGAGAGAGGGGGAGTTAATTAACGCGAGAGACTCAGAGCGGGTCCGAGCGACAGAGAGAAGCGTACGGCCATGAAGAACGAGCAACAAGAGGCAGACGCAAGAGATCGACCGCGCTGAGGATCTCACCACCAGCTAACAGCAGTGGTTGGGCAGTGGCGGTCTGCTGTGGTCAACGTCGATTGAAGCCCGGTTTCGCCGGTACATCTGTAATAACTGTTCGTGTTTTCTTGCGGCGCACACGTACAGAAAATCATGTCGTTACACGCCAACGAGGGAGTGCCTTCGCATGGCTGGGATTCCAACGGCTGCGAGCCTTCACGCGACGACAGCCTAACGGGGAGCTTGAGAGCGGGATGGGTGACGCTATCTAATCCTCCTACGTTGGTCTACATGTGAACAGTCCTCCACGGACTAGAATCATGTTATATATATACTTACAGGATGGTCGTCGTGACGTGACACATTTCTTGTTATTAGTATGGAAAAAAATAAAAAAAAATGGCTCGATTTTTGAATTTCTACAGCAGTATGGACCAGACGCCGACTTTACATGGAAGTCGTACGGGTGTCGACTTAGTTGTGCTGTCACAGCATCTTCCACGCACTTCTGCCAGTGCTGGTTTGTTGATTGGAGTCTTGTAGGTCGAGATACAGCAGTGGGATTCTCGTGTTGTGGAGGCAAAAGTGAACCAGAGCAAAAATTTTCATGCATAGCTCGATTACTGCTGCTGTGTTTTTGCTACAGCAGACTGAGTATGGACTAGACGCCGAACGACGTCCGCGTGCTACAAGTACCGCAACGACCTAACGGGATGGGATACTTCTTGCCACGGCGAACCATAGTACAATGCGATGCAAACATCCGTTCGTGTATCGCGCGGCTGCCACATGTGTCGACGACAGGTACACGTACAGCTCTCGCCATGTTGTCGTTACCGCGCAGGAGGACGCCTCGGAGATGTTCCACATGCATGCTACAACGACAGCAGTACTACTGTACATGGATGTCGTAGGAGAGTGGAGTTGTGATGTCACGGCATCTCCCACGCACTCTTCTACCGGTGCTTGTGTCGATTGGAGTCTTGTAGGCCGAAATACAAGGTGGGTTGGACTCCCGGGTTGTGGAAGCAAACCTGCAACAACAGAGAAGGCGGTGTTCTATTTACTATAATATAGAGTAATTCCGCTCAACTTTTTTTTTTTTCGCGGCATGTGGTCGCATATTTCTTTGCCACTGCCGAAAAAGACCGCTGGATCTTCACGCAGTCCACCTTTTGCATTTATCATTTTACACTGAACGACGCAGGACGGGTCGACCTTCATCGTTGTTGTTGTTGCTGTTGTCTCCACATTAAAAAACCGTTCCGACGTCCTCCTCGATACTTGTGGACTACCCTGTTGGAAATTGTGGGAATCCCTTCATTCTGAGAGAGAGAGCCATAGGTCGCCATCCGGCCTTTTCTTTTTTTGAATGCACTTTTCTTCTTGTGAAGTCTTGACGTTGCGCTTGCCATCGTCGCCGCGTAAGTGTTTGTGTTTTCAAACCTTCTCAGCCGGCCTTCAAACTTCTTGTTGATAAGTCTCCGTGTGGTAACTTCTCCGCGCATGAGTCATATGCAGCTATGACCTGCGCTTTGACTTTCACGATGGGTATTTAACCTCCCCGTCTTGCGTTGGTGAGTACCTGCGGATATACAGAAGGATCGCTCCACGACGCAAACGTCGACGTCTCCGTTTTTTTTTTTTTTCCTTCGCACTCCATCCTTGCCGCGGTTTTCACACCGACTTCGAACGTGGGGTGCAATTTCCTCTCTTCGTACCTTCCTCGTCGGCCTTCTCCGTCGTTGTGTACATAATGTACAATACCTCCATTTTTCGGCTTTTCGATTCCGATAGACAAGACTACGGACTGACATGTTCCTTTCATCCCCGACAGGACCGCGCGCTCGTCGAGTGCCGAAATTCTTCATCACTTCCTTGCCTCTCCCAACACCGTCCCTTCTTCCCGCCCTTACAAATCCTCTCCCCTTCTTCTTCTTCTTCCCTTCCTCCCGGACACTCACCACCATCCGTTCTGGATGTTGGCCCACAGCCCCATTGGGGGGCGGGGGGCCAATCCTTAACCCTAGTAACCTCCAAAACCCAACCACGCTGAAACTCTCGTATTCTGGTCTACAGGGACAGACAAGCGACCGCGGCTACGCTTCACCTACCAACCCCGCCCCTGCGACAATGTATGACCACCTCAGCCGTGGGTAGATTCACGCGTGACAGCCCTTGTTTTTTTCTATGCTGTGACTGACTGCTGTTGCCGAGGGAGGGTTCCGAGCCTGTGCTGTATTGTCTAACCGCTGCGGATATATAAGTCAGCTATTTAGCTGTATGTACGCACATGCGTGTGGTCTACGTATATGTCATGTAACAAAGAAACATCAGTTGGCCTCCTGCCTGAGAGCGGTACATAACTACGGGTAACCCCCGCATGTACCCTCGACATTGGTTGGCGTTTTGTACTGAGTTGCGAGCAGGAATTGCCTTTGACGGGCCGAGTGATGCAGCATTTCGTGTCACTGTAAATTATCAACAGCATGGGTGGGTGACGGCAATTGAAATCCAACACACCTACCGTGAGTAGTATATCAATACCTCAAATCAGTCTCCCTGGCTGGGCGCGCAGAAGAGACACACCACAGAGCTCCGTAAGGCATCGAGGCCGCCCTCTCGCTGTTCGGTGGTCGGACGTGTATTGTTCTGACTGTGTAGATAGTTGACAACCGCATTTTCGTCCCCTTACGCATAGGTGACCGAGGATCAACTGGTGGCGGTGCGTCATGAGCAAAAGCACCGACAGCGGCTGGGTGAAGAAGTGCACCGCGACTCGAAGAAGCTGGTTGCCACGGAGCTAGACCGCATGGCTATGCCCATGTCCGAGATCTATGACCGCAGGTTAAGAGTTGTCGGTCTGATCGCCGAGTTTTGGTTGAGGCGGAGTGAAAGTGACGGGGTGGCCACAGACAACCAGCTTCTGTACCTCGTTGTCAATATTGTACACTACCCTCGGCGTGCCAAGAGTGCTGTGATATGAACGGGACAGAGTATTGTTTCGCGTGCTCGCTCGACGGCGTGATTTGACTTGTGCCGTTCATGTGTTTGTTGCGACAGACCTCCGAGAAGCGCCGCCTGAGGCACTTCCTTGGTCTGGCCATCGACCTGAACACCGCCGAGACAAATGTTCTGCAGGGAGCGGAGGTGGGTGCTGCACGTGGTGAACTACTGTAGCCTCGAAGACCGAGGATACAATTGAATAACGAGAAACGCGCAGCAGCCCCGTGATTTATCGATTATGTTGCCACTGTCTTGAGCGAAGCGGCCATCGTCCGCGTGCAGGCATTCCGTTCGCCTTGTAAGCACCCTTGACCTATCGAACACAACTGCTCGCTAGCTCCAAGTCACGTCTACAGTCACGTGGCCGTGCTCAACATGAGTGCGGTCATAATGGACTACACCAGACCCTCGCACACCACTGCATCAATACTATCCGTGCACCACACCAAGAACTGCGTACCTACCGCCCGCCGTGGGGTTGGCAATCCCCAACCGCACCCCGCCACACTGCTCGCCGGTTCCCGTTGACCAGGCACGCCCCGTGGTTGCTACTATGGAAGGCCTGGCAGACCAGCTTGCGACGGTCGGGCCGGAACCTTTGTCGGTTGTCGACGAAACTAGGGACCAGATGTTCGACCTTAAGGCTCAGGAGTCAACCCTCCAAGACGTACTCCTAGGGCGCAACCGTGACCTCGAAGCGCAAGAATCCCAAGAAGAAGAGCAGAACCGATCTCTGGGGGGGAGGGCAGGTGCTTCTCTGGAATTTCAGAAGTCCTACCTTCTGCGGCGCATCAAGGTGCACCACAAGTTCATGGTGGACTTGCTGGGCTTCATGGACAAGAAGGAGGCGGTGGTGGGGCGCGCCGTACTTCGCTTGGAGGCCGCCCTAGCGACGTGCGATGTGAGTGTCTACCAAGGCAGTAGATAGGAGGATAGCGATACCAGTCTCTCGCTTCTCCCGAGGGGGCTCTGACAAGGAGAATGTATGAAACCACGTCGGGAGCCATCCTCGATTGTCGGGGACGGCTTTTCTCGGGCCATCGGAACCCATACCCTCCCCTGCCGAATTGAAACTTCTCAAAAGAAGCACTCGGCGACGCCACTCCCCCCCCCCCCCCCCGCCCGGCATTCAACGGTAATGAACTATTCCACTTTTTGACTGGAAACAGGCACGGGACGAGGTTATTTCGGCTGCAGACGAGAGAATGGCCAAGCACATATTAGAGCTAATAGATCGCGCACAAAACCAGGTGAGGGTACTACACCCGGGAAAAATAGGTCGGCAGAAAGAATGCCTGTGTGACAATGGTGTTGCTGCCTCATACGCACAGAGAATACATGAGGTTCAACACCCTGTGTGATTTTCGGCGATGGTGTCAACAAGATGGGGTTTCTTGTCACCTATTTTCCTCATTTGGCGTCTCGCGGTATTCCTGGCACATTCGACAGTGTTCGTCATCGTCGCCGCAAGAAACAACAGACTGCGGATGCGATGTTTCGAACATTCGAACACAAGGGTCGGTGATAGTGACTGACTATCTCATGCTCTTGTCAATGGAACCTCTGCTCGTCCAGGAACCAGCCCCAGCTCCGGTTGAACCCCCCGCCTACTCTGTCACCACGGCACTCAACAAGTGGGTCGAAGCTTCTTCGAACGGTTCGTGGCGCGCACCATGGCAAGAAACAACGTGGACGCCACCTTCTTGGCTACACGAGCTCTGTCGCCGGTGGATACGTGGTACGTGCTATCCACTTGCCTGGGACAAGGAACTTTCGGCGGCGTCTTCAAGATAGATGTCCTCACCCTGGGGGAGAGCTTCGCCATGAAGCTAATCAAGGAGGTAGGTGTGATACTTCCGTGTTGGTGCACTGGTTGCTCTCGATGGCAATCATGTGTGGCCATTGCAAAGCATCCGAGGAGCTGTCCCCCCTTTGCAGTTCTGCGTAACGTGATAATTCAAGTGCACCCGGCCCCCTATCGGAGCTCCTTTGAAGTGGGCTTGGCACTGCTGCACCGTCCTGCTTGCTTCTGGCCCTCGTACCTCAGGGAGAGGGCGAGAATGCTCGAAGGCGGACGCGCAGGTCGCAAGAGTCCCTGCTTGGGGAGATGGTCATCTGTGTCTGGTGAGACACGCATGTCGCCGTCATGTTGTTTTTGCAGAGTAGCGAAGACTTTACAGAGTTAACGAATAGAGTGCAACAAGGGCGGGGCGGTTGCAAGCACGTAGAATCTGCGGTAGATGAACACCGTTGTAGGGTTTTGGTGTCTTGGGAGCAGGAGTGGTTGTGTTTCCACAGGCGTGTTACATTCTTCCTCCCAGTTCGTGCACCAAGTAAGCAGACTTAATGGCACGGCTCGAAACCACGCACATTGCGTACCGCTTTTATTGTCGATTCCGCGCGTGTTTCGATCAACCCACATTGTTCGCGTCGGTGCCCGCATTATCGGATGTTTTGTGTGATTCCTCCAAACTACCGGCCTGATGCTTTCGTCCTTGGCTGTCAGTGTCCCGCCACACCCGAACGTCCTCCAAGCCGTCGGAGTGGATGACAGGGAGCTGGACTGCATGAAGATCGTCTACCACCTTGCAGAAGGCGCTTTCAGCTGCTGCGCGTGGGGAAGCACAGAAGACAGCGCGGGGACGAAGATGCGGTGAGATGTCAACTCACGTCATCCCTCTCGACCCAACGACACCACATGAATCGGTTGGACAATATTGCCGTTGGCTGACGGCCTACTTGTGATTTTTTACCATTTTGCAGAGGTGAGTTGTGGAATTTGTCTCTGTACTGTGGTTTTGTCACAGGAAACATGCATGAATACGCTCCATGGTTGACACAATTTGGACCGTCGATATCCGAGGACGTCATTTTTCACCCACCCAGGTGGATAATTGTTGATGTCGGGTCTCAATCCCTTTTCCCTGCCAGGACAACTCCGCACGGTGCATGCTGGCGAGGGTTTGCTATGTAGAGTGGCCGACGAAGGATGTGTTTCTCATTCCACAGTATGAAACTGGCAAGACTCTGAATCTGCATCGTTCTCTGCCCTACTCTGCCCATCTTAAGTACAATATAAACGTTTTTGACATGGCACCCAGGAGGGATCGTCCAGTCAAATCACAATTTCTTCGGTTGTTTGCACACACCCGTGACAAAGCAGGGCCAAATAATTATAGAGCCCCGGGCGGGAACGAAATGTTATCTTTTTTTTTTTGAAGTGCATCCATGTGCGGCACCACGAAACCCGTACGCCCCTGAATAACAACATCAGTTACGGTGTGTCTACCGCCAAGGTCGTGAATAGCCAGCGGGCCCTGATCGGTTATATCGTGATACATATTGAGTGCAAGAACGCTGTATTGCGTGAAGCGGAAATTGTTGGTATCGCGTCAAAGACGCCCGCAAAAACGTCGCAGCAGCAACAAGAAATCTGACGTCCTGGTGGGAGGTTTTCCAGAATCAGTGCATCCCCGTGCGATCCTAGGGACCGTGAGGTGAAAATTCAACAATCGAACTGACTTCGTTCTTCATCTTGTCGCGATCTCCTGTGCTGAATCAGGTCGCCGTGCCATCTGCGATACTCTGAAGCGAAACACATATATATTCCATGTACTTTCCTCCGCCACACCGTGGGGGCTCAGCCATTCTGACTCATATCAATTAGCTTGAAGCGTTTTCGCCGACTGGTCTAATCCCCTGGGTATCAATCCTGCGGCCCCGTCACTGCTGCGAATCTATTCTGCTCCTGCAGGTATCTGAGCGAAGCCGCCATGGGTTTGACCCACCTTGCCAACCACGGCTATGTCCACAACGACATCAAGCCATCGAATATCTTGCTGGTTGACTCCACGCAGGATGGGAACAAGACAACGCGTGCAGTACTGGCGGACTTTGGATGCGCGTTAGGTGACAACACCGCTCTACATGTGTTAGGAAGAATTGCCCACGTGTGTGTGTTGGATGGCCTATTCCCTTCTTTCGGCAAATTCGTTATCAACCTGTTTTGGCCTTCGCCTCGCTCTGCTAAAAAAACTTTCAGCGTGCCCCTTCACTGAGAGACACCGCCGCTACTACGTTGGCGTGGCCTCTTCTCACTCCCCTGTTTGAGGCCCTATACGTGCGTTCAATCACCTCTCTAATCGTACTCCTTTCCCCGCTTTTGCCGGCCATGTGCTCAAAACAAATATTTTTTGCAAACACGACCACCACCGTCGTCGGCATCAGCCATCGGAGACGAACGTTTGGGAGAAGGCACCCTCGGGAGCAGGCCGCCGGAAGCGAGAAGCTCGGTTAGATGCCACCCGTCTGCGGAGGTTTTCTCCATGGCACACACCTGCCTAGTTACGTTCACCAAGAGGGGCCGGAAATATCATAATATGTTCGCAAGCGAGGTGCGCTCGACACTTGGCTACGACGGCGACCGGGATGGGTTTGCTTATAAGTCATCGACAGGAAGAGTGAGGGTCTCTTTGACCCAAAACTTGGGATAGGTTCTCGAGGAGGTTGGAGGTTTTCTCGATCAGATGAATGACCACCTGTGATGAACTACTGTAGGCGGTACAATGTGCGATCGTTGGCTTCGAGAATCGAGGGGATATCGGACTGCTACAGCTGTGCAGACATTTACACCGCCCCGGGCGCTTTAGTTTAGCATGCCGTATGCTGATGGTCGAGGCCACGATACACCGCATCATCACCCCACCACGCCCCTGCTTTGTTGTAGTCTTCTCCACTGTCTGCACGAGAATCGCTCGTCAGGCTCATGGACTGTTGGTTGCCCTCTCAGTTTCCTCCCTCTCAGTTGCCTCCCACGGACGCCCCTGTTCGTCGTTTTGCGTGTTTGTTCGTCTACTCTTGTGCGTGCAACACGATAGGAGCTATTAACGCGCTGCGACAGAAGGTGCCTCGACAACATCGACGACGACCGTCGGTTCGACAAGTACATCGTGAGTCCAGTTTCCACTATCCCCTGATGGCTCTAGCCGTGTTTTGAAAAAGCTTTCTATCCCTGGAACTAGGGTTAGTCTCGTTGTTCCTGTGTTCGTGTTTTCAAGCAAGATTGTGGCAAAACGCACCGTATCGAGAGCACGTTCGTGGCTTCCACCCCCTACCCCAACCCAACTCGTACCACAGCCATTTGTTGACGGGAGGCGGGGACGTCTTGGTTGACGGGGGGCGGGGACGTCGGGGAGTAGAGGTGGAAGCACCAGTTTAGGAAGGCGTTTCCCAGCTTTGAGAGGGAGAATATTGAACCGGCTTCGGACGAGGGGAGTGTGATATCCCCGCTGCCACCCCCACTTCGCTGCGGCCGGGTACTTCTCGCTCGTGTTGTATGTGTCGATGGTCGGCTTCCACCCTTAAGAATGCGTCAGAGGCAGTGGGTATCACCGCTTAGACAAGGTCAATTGGACGGACTGCCCGTGGTTTGGGAGAAACAACAGTAAGATCGATTTATCACCGCCCGCCGCCAACGTACGTACTCTGACCGCAGGAGATAATCTCCCACCGGAACATGCTGTAGTCCTCTACACTCGAGATCTTGCTCAACCCAGACCACCTCCTGGACGAGCTTCATGACGTGAAGCAGGAGGTGAGAGCGTCAAAACATGGCCATAGTCCTGGCCTTACCTTAGCTCGCTTAGATGGTTATGATTCACACCGCATGTATGAGGCAAGGATAATGTACCTTTCTTCTTGTTGAGGCGATCTTGTGGCAGCCGGTGTTCCCTCCCAAACGTCGCCTTTCTACAGTTCTTGTTTCGACGATCAGCGTAGACCCGGGTTGTTCAGAGATTCACCCCAAACTGGGTTAGATGATGGGCATGGTCTGGAGCTCGTCGATACAGAAGCCTCACAGTCCGATGACCACAGCTTTTCGCTGGCCGTGAGGAGACTCCCATGCGTCTACAACTGACAACACCTGAGCAGTGGACAACCGTTGACGCCGTTCCTTAGCTAATGGGGCGTTTACTTGTCAATGCTGTTTGAGCGCCATGTTGTGGGATTCACAACAGTTTTCAGTCTCACGTCAGCAGGACGAGGGGTGTGTGCATGCTCCGGGTCTTGAACGGTCGCTTTTTTGGAGCGCCCTTGCCGGGGACTCCCGCCCACGGTGTTCATGTCATGCCAATGAGCTTCGCAATGGTATTTTTCCGTTGCCCGTGGATGGCCTCTGTTCACACAAGCTATTGCGCACCCTCATGGGGCGCTCCTTGAACGGTGCACTAACGTTACGCGACGACTCACAAAAGCCTTGCTTTCGTGAACGATGTACCTTGCCCGTCGTTTCTCCCTCTACCGTCGCCGCCACTACCCGATTTTGATTCTGGTGTACGAACGAATCCGGTTCATCGAGATCGTACGAGCCGTCCTCCAACGCGACCCGGCCCTCCGCCCTTCGCCAGCGGAGCTTGTTGAGTCCCTCACCAGCATGAGCATTCGGTTGCTCGAGAAGGAACTGGGGGTCACACCCGTCTCCGCTGCTGCTACTGCCGCCGCTGCTGCCACTACAAACACCGTTGCTGTAGCACCCGCCCCACCCCAGATGGCACCATCACTCGCTCAAGTACTGAGCGGTGAAGGTGGCGGCGACGGCGGCGGCCCTATTGTGAGGGGCGGTGGGGGCAGTGATGGTGGAAATGCTATGCTTCCGTTGAGCATGCAGGCAACGGGAGGGGACGCGGCGGCGGTAGGCCGGACGGGTGCCGGCGGGTCTGCCGCCACGGCGTTGCCGAAATATTCTGCTGGTGGAGCGACGGCAGCAGCGGTAGCAGCGGACGGCAGGGCAGGCGTGCTGCCGTCTTCGAACAACGTGCCGCGCGATTCCCCGCTCATAGGTGGAGAAGTACGAGCAGGAGAGGAGAGGGTGCCCCGGGCGATTCAGGTCGGCAGTCAGCATGTGCCCCCCACGTACGACGGTCACCGTGGCCCGGGAGGTAGGGGGTTCGAGAACCTCCAGCCAGCGGGACGCGTCGGCGGGGACGGCAATGCCGCGCGTGTCGGTGCATGTCCACAGGCCCCGTCACGCTGCCACCACCCTCAGCGACAAGGATGCGCACCGAGGGCTGCCACTGCCCCACGCCACCGCCGGCACAACCACCACCACCAGCACCGCGGTGGCAACGAAGAGGCCGTTGTTGGTATCGGTGTGAAGCCAGACGGCCGCCGCTCCGCTGCCGCAGGCGGGATGGGAAACACCGGCCGCCGCCCCCAGCACGACGCTCCCCGGGAAAACATGAGCAGTGCGTTTGGTGGAACCGGCACTGTCGTCCCATCGCCGCCCTGCGTGCGCCCACCGCCGGGCTACGAACAGTACAACACACCGGGCCACGCACAACACAGCGCACCGGGCTACGCGGAATGCAACGCACCGGGCTACACGCAATGCAGCACAACAGGCTACGCGCAACGCAGCACACCAGGCTACGGGCAATACAGCGCACCGGGCTACGCGCAATGTAACGCACCGGGCTACGCGCAATGCAGCACACTGTTTGCGGTTCCCCCCCTCCGCCGCCGCCGCAGTGGGGTGCAGGGAGACCGATGGGGGTAGCTCCGTACCTCTCTCGGGCTGCGGCACCGCCGGCACCATCGGCACCATCACCCCCGCCGCTATGACGGCAGGCCGCATACGGTGCGCCGGTTAATGTTGGTATTGGACATGTTGTGATGGTGTTGGTGCTCCGGCTTGCTACGGCCACGCGGCGTACGCGAGGGTAGGAGCGGGGCAAGGGGTGGGTGGAGTGTGGGGCCATTCTCCGGCGAGCGCTCAGGTGCCCAACGCTAGGGTGCCGGCGGGGCATGCCGGAGGCTGGGCGGGGTGTTCCTACGGCCCTGGGTACGGTGGGTACGGTGGGTGCGGTGCCACACCGCAGCCGCCATGCTTGGTGTGGGTGCCCTTCTCTTGACACGCGGCAGCGACTACTTTGCCCTTGATCGGGGTGTCCTGTACTTTGAATGCGGTGCAGGTTGACCTACCGTTTACTGCTTCCGTATCAAGTGGCCTTGAGCACTTGGAGGGAGACGTGTATTTTGACATGAAACTGATGGTGACCGGCGATGTTGGAGTTACCTGCCGTACTACGTTGTTTGTAAAACGACGTTGGATGGCGGTGGTGGCGGCGCTGGGTCACGTTGTATAGGTAACGATAAGATATTGTAGTTTTAATTATTCCCTCTGAATTCGGCTGCGAGAAGGACGGCGGGAGAAAGGCAATGAGAGTGATACATGCAGAGTGGTGAACCGGTATGTGTGTGTTGGGAGTAAGTGGAAGTGGGCAAGTCGTGTCTCCTGTTGTTGCTGATATTGGTGTATTCAGACGAGGCACACGTTGTCTCAAAGAGTCGAGCAACAAGCTGCAAGCAACAGAGAGGCGTCACGGATTGCAAGGGTAATCTCGGATTGAGACGCATCTAGATTTCGGAACGAAATCGGGAAGAGTCAGATATTCCAGAAAGGATGTTGGAAAATGACCCCACCTAGTTTAGTCCCCCTTTTCTCTCCCGAAATACGCCGGAGCAGAGAAGAAGGGGTATATTTGAGACCATCCCACCCGCCCTACACAATGCTTACTATATTCATGAACTTACTGATCATTCAAACACTTTGGGCCTGGGCACACCAAGCCCAAAGGGCTACTTGTGGCGAGGCCCTCCTGCAGGCGCAGGAGGCCTCACCACCCAACCAAATCCAATACTTACATCGAATGATCTGGGTAAGGGATAAGAATAAAACAGGATTTTTGTAGAGAGGCCTGCACTTCAAGCATTCGATCGTCATAATAGCATCACTTGTGCGGCGTTGTTGCGCACCCGGTCACACAAGGCAATCCTGTATTGTAACATCATTTTCCCGTGATGCACGAATGACACATTTTCAGGACGTCGTGCCACGAGGACCTCGCAAGGGGAAGGTCAAAGCTCGGCAAGATCTTGGGGCACGCCAGGAAATGTAGTTCCACAGGGGGTACAAAAGAACTGCATGTCGGCCGGTGGTACCCAAGACAAAACCTGAACTCCTGGGATAACTCTCAACAGATGCAGCTTTAACATTGGGCGCGTAGTGTATTCGGGGTGGGAGTGGACGACTGACGGCTCTAAATGGCTTCTCTGTCGAGCAACAACGTGTTCTGTGTCCGGACAACGGTTCGCAGCGTCTACCGCTACATTGTCATATTCACACGCTCACACAATGTGAGGCCATCGGGTACGTCGAGGCACCAACCTCCCCATACAGAGGCCACAAGCGCTCGTGCCAAGCACGGAGTACCCGCTCGATGGGGATGCTTCATATTTGTAGGTGCACGAACAGGCTGCGTGGCCTCTGATACGCTCAAAATCAGGCGTGCCTTAGTCGAAACGACTCCTTTCAGCGAACATTTGGCAGTGGAACCTATAGTCTAGCACTCCGTACGGCAGCATTGCTCTATTTAAGCAACGTCAACATTGGAGGCAGCCTTGGAATACCAATCGGAGTCTCTGGGCACCGAAAGGGGTATGCCAGGAGCGAAACGCGACAACATGTCGAAGTTTGTGAAAGCGGATTCCTCAAAAGCCTAAACTACAGTACATCCCGAGTTTCAACAGAGTGTGAAAAAAAACACGCTCGATCGGGCATACCTCGGTTGGGTGGCAGTCGCTTCGACTTGCATCTAATCTTCTTTGTGTTTCCTGCGATGGCTGTTCGTCGTTTTCGAATCCAGGCGGTGTGGATGCCCTGCGTGCAGTACCCACGCGGGGCCGCTCGCGCCTCCCACTGATGCTCCCACCTGTATTCGATTAGTTGAGAGTCTTGCCGTACGTTCTTTCCGCGGGCGCAGTCATGCCGCCGCCCCAGCACTGCTGGGAGGCGACGCCTTCGCACTCCTGTTGCTGAAACGGTCAGAAAAGAGCTGTTCCCTGCTTCACTACTACTGCTGCAGCGACCGTATGGCGCGAAAGGACGTGTATCCTTCATACTCCGATAAATGTTTGCACAAGACAGGAATACAGGTGGTGTCGAAAAACTGACAGGTTTGAAATTCTTCAATTCGATCTTCTTGTGGCAGGAGGGGAGCAACCGATGCCACTCCGGCTATGTCTCAGGCTGTCCCGGATCGCATCGCACCAAAGGCGATCGTCGGCGGTGGTGATGGCCGTGGGATTCCCAACAGCGGTAGCAGTGATGGTGCCGGTGCCAACCAGGCTAGCGCAGCCAGCGAGGGAAAATGCACTACTGTGTAGCACATGTACAACGGCCCAGTTTCTGGGATGCATGCTGATCAGAACGATCCTCCCCTCGAAAAGTGATTTCCCAATTAAAGCTTCACATTCAGTCGTAGTCTGTTTCTGTGTTGTGCACCCACCGGCGTTTCTCGCTTACATTCCTTCGCCTACCTATGCATATTTGCCGAAGCCAGCGCAACCATCCAGGTCAAGCATCAAGATATACGAAGACGGTTGCGCGTCCGGGGCATGCTTTATCATCCACATGGGGTTCCCCGAAAATGTTCGCATTGAATACATTGTCCATGGTTTTACTCGTGCGCTCATTAACTGTCATTCCTCGCTCGCATTTCCTCTCCCCATGATTGTCTTTATGAACAACGCACGAATGACACGTTTTCAGGACGTCGTGCCACCACGACCTCGTAATGAGAAGGCGAAAGCCCGGGAAGATCCTGAAGATGACGCCAGGTAGTACCCAAGACACAACAAACTGGAACGTTCGGGATAGCTTTAAACAGATGCATGCATCTTTAGCACTGTGCGTGTAGTGTTGTCGAAGTTCGAGTTGAACGACCGACTACTCTAAACGGTTTCTCCACAAGCTGGTTCACGGAAATGGCAACAGTTCGAAGTCGAAAAATGGTGTACTGCTACATTGCCGCAAACTCATCCACATACACCCTGAAGCCGTCGTGTACGTCGAGGCACCACCCCCGCCGTACAGAAGTCACAAAAGCTCGCGAAAAGCACGGGGTACTCGCTCGATGAGGGCGCTTCTTGTGATTTCCCCGACCCCGCCCTTCGCCATCGCTTACTGCTATTGTCTGGCGTGTTTTTGTTGTTCTCTGTGATCAGGCGAAAAAGCCAAAAAGGACGTCTTGCTGCGCAAAATGAAGCCAGGACTACGGAGGTCCTACTTCACGGCGTGCCATTCTTTCTACATGACGGCGAAACGCGCTCTCGGCCCGCACGACCGCCAGGAAACGTAAGGAAGCCATTGAAAAGCAGTGAATCATGTACGATATTTTGCTGAAACCTGTCTTGTCGTACCAGCAGCAGCATTGACCAGGCTAACCTGCTGTGGTCGCGATTGTGGAATATTCGTTTGGATCCCTCGAAAGGCACTGTATTCTATGGCGGGACCTGTGAACAAGCGTTGATGTACGGAGCGTGACAAGCCGTTGTCCAAGCCCGATGGATAACTCCTGTCCCACACGTGATGGTTGTTGCTCTTGACTGAATGCACAAGACAAACATTTAACACTGAAGCCGCATGATTCCCTGTACCATTGGTGAATGTGCGAGATGGCAGGCTCGCACAGGCTGTGGACGCATCTCTCAAGGATTGCGAGGCCAGGGAACGGGAGGGGGGCCCATCCGAGCAGCCAGATCGGCCTTAGGTTAATCGAAGGGTGGCGGAGACCGTACGAAAGACACCACGTGCTTCCAACTAAGCAATAATCACTTTGAGGACGTACGAAGTCCTTCCACGAAAGGTTGTTGAATCATGCCATCACCCCTGAATGTTTCCAAGGGCGATGACGCTACCCTACGACAACGATGAGGTCAGAATGTAGACCTGCACATAATTTCGGGTGTCTTTGCATTATAACTGGCACTCTTGTGTGTTTCCTCTAAACCCACAAAAGACTCACTGAAGCAGGCCATGCCACCACGATGCCGTCTCCCGAACTATTGGAGGGAATCGCGTCGGGTCTGGTTGTCTTCGTGTTGTGTCGACATGTCGATCCTGTTTGAATTCGTCCTTTTTTTTGTCTTGTTGTTCGATCGTTGGTAGGAATTCGCTCATCCTCAAGCTTCGAATGCACAGGGGGCCGCGGCAAGGGGCGACGCTGTGGAGGCTACCAGCCCCCCGACCGATCGCCTGGCAGCAAGACCTCACCGCGAGGCGGCTAAGCCTATCACATTTACGGTACCCTCCGAGCCCCCCCGGTGCAGCGGCGAATCCCTGCGGAGTACGAGCGGCGTTGCCCTGTTTCTGTCGCGCTTGGTCGGACAAGCGGAAGGCGTACGCTACCCGACCTGCCGTGTATGCGGGGAGCAAGTGGTGGAGATGCCAGGCCATCTCGCCATGTGAGTACGAACCATGCAAACCTTCGCTGAGAGGGCACGCCTTTGGTGAAGTATCAACTACTCCGACGCTCGTCGATGAGCTCGGTCCATACGCGCTTGACATCGCGTGGGTTCAGCATACGTGCCCGCGAGGCAGTTCACCCAAAGCCGACCTTCTACGTCTCACTGTCCAACCCCTCAGATCCTCCTGCGGTAACGTCACCAAGCCGGCGTACAGGGGTTACTCCTTGCAGTGCGCCGTACGCACCACGGAGTACCCCGCCCAAAAGGTGATCGACCACTCGAAAGAGTGCCAAGGCGCCCCACCCCAAGCATCAATGTCGGTGTCCAGCAGCACCGTTGCAGAATCGGCTCATGCTGCCACCTCCGGACGGGGCCGGAGGCGAGCAGCTTCGGTGGCCTTGAAAAAGATCACCGACGCCGCGGCAATCCTAAACGAGGAGACAGACACGGCACCCAAGCAAATGCGGAGGAAGAAGCAGTTCAAGGACCTAGCCGCTTGTGATATTGCTGCTGGTGGCAGTGTGAAGAAAACCTGCTGCATTCGGGCTTATTTAGGGTCACTGGTGTTGTTTACGATATGACACCGAAGCGCCTACTGCTTTAATAACGACGGTAACATTAATTCTGGAAAAGTCACCGAGCATCAAGGCCAAAGGTCGGAGATGAGACTGGTCGAAAGTCGAAAGTCCACAGCGTACGGTCAAACATTTTCGTGCGATTGAGGACATACGTGTAAGGAGTCTTATGGAGCGGCCGGGGAGCTACATGTAAAAGCCCTAGGAAAGGAGAGCCGGAAAATATTTGTTGCCGCGGAAAACGCTTGTCAGAGGGGAGGTTGTTGATGTCATGAACCATTGGTGGTAGATGAATGACGTAGCAAGAAGTACACGCGCAAGTGGCGCCACATTGTAAATCCATCCAGAAATTCTCAGGAAAACGAACGAAAATCACCACCAGCATTTCGCTCTCGAGTCTACCGATGTAGTGTGACCCACGGCGCCACGACATCTAATGACTCCTCCAAAGTGTTTCTCCTAACTGCGGTATCGCTCCGAATCCCTCAGTGCACGCACCCCCTCGAGTCTGCCACGAGAGAGAAAGGAGAGAGAGAGAGAGAGAGAGAGAGAGAGAGAGAGAGAGACGCGCATATTTCGTGTCATATTTGGTGGGGCAGTTGGCTTGTGACCACGGAAGGCGCCCGCGTCTGTTGGACCAGTCAGTGCGGACATTAGAAGGTACTGATCGGAGACCGGAACGGTTTTTTAATTTGAAGACAACAACAACAACAACAACAACAACACGTATTCCTCGCGAGTCCCATTATGAGATCGATTTCGTCCCTTACCAGAGCATATGGTGTTCGGCAAGTTGGGTGTACGGGGTATATTGGTCGAATTATTTGCACGGGATGCTGCATTCGCCTCGTCGTTGGTATTTCAATTTTTTTCGTGTTTGCCTGACCGTGTGTGTCCCGATTATGACAAGGGTGTGCTGACCCAGCTCAGCCACCAAACCGACTTGTTTCTTGACAGCCATAAGGTATCCACGAAGATTCCCGCAGCACACTGCAGCTGATGATCCCTCTAAGGATTGATGAACTTCTCGCACGGGGGGCACCAAAGTTATTAAACTACCTCATGGTGGTGATAGTGCTACTCTTTGTGCGGGTGTTTGACGATGATGTGGTTAGTGCCAAACAGTTCAGCAAGGCATTCAGTTGGGTCAAGATTGATTCTCCGGCAGGAGGGCCTCGCCTGAAGGATACTTTCCCGCCTGCCTGTGCCGAGAGCGCTCAGAGAGCAGTCGGAGCAGATATCCTTGAAAATCGCTCAGCCTAGAATAGTAGCGTTGTTTTCTCTTCTTCGCCCGGTGCGGAACATATTGTGAAAAGTACTGCAGCGTGTAAGATGCATTGGTGAGGCCGCTTTCGCTTCCTACTTTTCCTTGGCGCCTAATATCGGCCTGTAAGCTACACACCCGTTTACGCCGACTTACACCCCAATTTCCCTTGGTACGAGGGGAATTGCAAAGAACGGATGGTCACATCGGGTAGGATTTTACGCCGAAGACCTTGCAGACGGGGCGGTGGGATGACACAGGGCTTGTTCAGAAGGAGGCCGTTCCTGCAAAATGGGGTGCATTTATTGCTGTATGTCACGTGCGTGCACCCAAAAGGGCAACGGGGAAAAGGTTCCGTGTTCTAAAAAATACACGCACTCGAAGGACCAGCCGCAACCCCTGCTAACTCGCCATGGAGGCCTCCTGCTCCCATCCTTCTGCTTCCATTTGTTGGATCGCGCTGACGACAACGATCCAACAAATGGTCGTCAGTAAAGTGCTGTGTGTAACTGCTACATCGCGTTGTCGAAAACAATTTCGAAACGCCCAAAAAATAATCTCGCTTCGAGGAGGCATGCTTTCGCTGCCGACTCCCCCCCCCCAGACGACGATCCAACAAATGGTCGTCGTAACTACAGTGTGTAATTAACTGCTACATCGCGTTGTCGAAAACAGTTTCGAAACGCCAAATAAATAATCTCGCTTCGAGGAGGCATGTTTTCGCTGCCGGCTCCCCCCCCCCATCCTTGTTAGCGCCATTCGCGCCACCCCCACCTGTGGTACGAGACCGAGCTCACAACTCTATCGCAAACCCTTGCGGCAGAGACAGAGCAGAGGCAGAGACAGAGACAGCCGTCAGACAGAGGGGCAGAGAGTAGAGAGAGAGGGAGTAAAGTGAGAGAGAATCTACAAGTACGAAACTGTCCATCCGGATCGTTTTGACTACCTCTCCTCTTCGAGGCGCTGTTCCCTGCTGTTCACACGCTCGCGACGTCCGACATCTCGATACTCCGCGCCTGCCTTGCCCAGCAAGTCCCATCACACACCGATCACACAGGTGAGATTAGCTCAGATAACCATCACCGTGTCGAAGGTATGCGAAGACCCAGTGTAGTGGCGTGGGCTCCTTGACTCTACCTGTAGCTGCTGCGGATGGCCCGCCGTGCGTTGGGTTTCTCTCTGCAATAGTCTGCTGCTGGCGCGATTGCAGTAGTGAGGGTGTTGAGTTGACACGACGACAGGTACAACGTTCCGGGACGCCTACCCCTGCGGACGTGCATATAGCGCTAGCTCTCCTCTTTCTTCGCTCCTTAGAAGGCGCTGTTTATGCCGCTTGGGGCTACGTTTTTTCTGTGAAGGTGCCGGAGCATTGTTTAGGTGGAAGTGTGGTGACTGAGAACTGCTCTACAACAGTGCCGATCACATGAAAAGTAGGATACAGCAGCCTACTTGCTGTCTACTGCTTGTAGTCTGTGATATGCACAGATACATCGTTTCGTTGTACAACGCCATGCTTGCCAGCGCAACTCGTGTCGAGGGCTCGAACAGACTCATCCGCACACAAGAAGGGTTGAGATTGAGCGTGTTCCATTACCGCAAGGCTCGCTTCTCCCTCGCTCCAAGCAACTCTGTCTGCTCGTTTTGTATCGTCATTCCCTGCAGAGACAGAAGTGCAGCCAGCAACGGATCTCCTCCAAACACACATAAAGACATAAAAAACAGATTAGTCCGGGGGGCTGCCCGCTGACAAAGGATCGTTTGTCTTGCGAGACTTGGAGTTTACGAGAGGTTGAAGATTTTTGTCGTGGGCTCAGCGAGATCACCGTTCCATGACTTTGGACACCCTATCCCCCGCTCAACCGGCAACATGCGTACGTACACGGCTACAGCAGCAGGCTTTGGAGCCCGCTTCGTTTTATATCAGCAACAGCGCGCAGCAACCGATCCTGGCCCTTTTTACAGGGAAAAAGACCAACAAGACAGCAGTTGGGTGGCCATCATATGGTTGAAAAGGAACACGGCCGTGTGCAGGGGTCGGGCCGGAACTGGCCGCTATGACAACTCCTTGAAAATCTTCGTTTATGTCTTCCGCACGTTTGGTTTCTACACGTGCGTGGTGCCAAACACTCCCTTACTGTTTTGTTTTGGCACGTGGCCGGTGACCGTTCCGAGCTAAGTTTGGCCCGTAGCCCAACAAGGGTTATGTAAATACTCGTCCCCTGTGGACTCAAGCTGCGAGTGACGAAATCAAATTTCGAATTTGTACGGCTTGGGCTCTTTTCTGCTAGGCGGAATTTGTTCCCCCTATATACTAAATACATCACTACTGCTGAAACAGGCCCAGTCCAAAGCCCGACCAGTACGGATATTGGAAGGTTCGGAGTAGAGATTTCTTTTGTGGAAGACACCACCACCACCACCACCAACAACAACAACAACAACAACAGCACAATCGAGCCCAACCCGGCGGCGGTGGTTGTCTACAGGCAGCGGTTTGCCGATACCCCCTCTGTTTACCGAGTCGCTGCAAGCAATTTGCAACGTGCCAGTTCCGTAACAAAGCTCGCGGTTTCGATGCTCAGCACTGGTCATGCCGACCCCTATTTCTATTCGCCCCCCCTTTCACGCTTGTGGCATCTGCTTGTTTGAAGGTTTGATTCTACGCATCCGCTTCCAACATGAACAACGGGACACCACCGGGGGACGCCCCCAACAACAACAAGCGCCACCCCGCCCTGGCGCCCTTCTTGCCGAAGTCGCTCATCACCAAGAAGATTCCCGCGCCTCATCCAGAAGGTACAGCAGTAGTATGGCGTTTGGTGCTTCTGTGTGGATGCTGCTGTTGTTTTCTCAGCAGCAGCAGCACCTGTTGTTTGATGTGTACACCCATTTGCTTCCATGGTGTTCCGTGTGTTGTGCCTCCACGGTACGTTATCCCGTGGGCCTCCGTGTCCAACCGTGTGAAGCGAAGGTGGGTGGATTGGGAGATTGTCGAATGTAGCATGAAGCATGCAAGAAAATTAAGGAACACCAGTAGATTTAGCGGTAACGCACGGACGGCTGTTGCCAGTTCGCTCCGAAATCATCCACGTTTCCTCGTGTCGACGGGCAGGGATGGCTTGCTTCGATGCGAAACCATCGTCTTGTGCTCATGCCCACGGATGTAGAGACAGATGGGTTGGTCGCTGTTTTTTGCCATGAAAATTGAAAGAGGACGTTTTGGTCATCCACCCCCTTGTGCTCGCGGTCCTCCACACCCACCCGCCACGTCTTATCGCAACCACAACTTCCGTGTTTTGACACCTGCCGCCGCAGACGTTGAGAGGACTAGGAAAGCGGCGGCGGACGATGCGAAGAAGGGAGAGCTGTGCATCATCTGCCTAGAAGCCCTGCCTGACATCGAAAGAGGCATCATCGCTTGCGTGAGTCGAGTCGAGTCACCTCTCTAAATCTCTTGTTTCCTTTTATCTGCGATTTTTTGTGTGTGCTTTGCTTTGTTTTTTCGTGTGCGTTTTTGCGTGTCAGCTCTCGCGGGTGGCCGTTGTTCATTCGAAGAGTGTGGCCCTTCCCAGTGGTGGTCCCTGTCTAAACCGCCCCATACACCGCCAAAGGATTTGGTCGCCTTATTCCGGGTACCGGACACTGTCAAGAGTATGGGAGCTCCATGATAATCTGTGTCAAGCGATTTCACCGACCGACCGTACATAAGGCGACCAGCCTTGTGCACAAGGGAAATGGACCATGGAGTAACCATGTATACCTTTCCGTTCCGTTTCCACCCTCTGTCCCGCATGTGCTCTGTTCCTAGAAGCACAGCCGAGAAAACGAGCATGTTTGAGCGGCAGGCTATGTATGACTGAACGAATCAAATTGGGCAGAGCGAAGAAGGAAGCATGTCTGGTAGAACAACGGCAGGAGACCAGAGCCAGGAGAACAACAAAAACGGGATGATGTCGTGATCTTAGAGAGAGAGAGAGAGAGGGTGAGGAGTCTCAGAGAGAGCATGTGGTCTCGCCTCCAACGGCCACCCGGCGCTCTCTTACTTCTCGTTTTTCGATACCGCTGACTTTCATCTTTCTCCGTTGTTTTTTTTTCGTTGTCGAAGCCGACGATTTTCATTCTCCGCTTGCACGCCACCGTCACCGTCATCACCGACGCTACATCGCCTGCGAAAGTCATGACTTGCTGTGCAACACCGCCTTGATTTGTTTTCTATTTCCCTGCTTGTCTGCCGACCCGTCTTTTCGTTCTGGGGATGGTTTGTTCGCGCGCACCCCCGCTGTTTCCAGGGGCACACCTTCTGCTTCGGGTGCATCCACGATTGGGCGTCCAACAGAGGGGACAGCGCCCTCTGCCCAAGCTGCCGCTTCCCTTTCAACAAGATCAAGAAGACTCTGTCGCCCAAGGATATAGAAAAGGAGAAGCTACGCAACGAGGTGAGTGCGGGTTGCCAAGAGGACAAGACTCAACCCCACGGCCGCGTGTGTCATTCCTGCGGCCGGCTGTATCCGTTCCTGTCGTAGGTTAGTCGGCCGATAAATCGCTGTATGACGCTTGCAACTGCTGTATCTCGATTCAACATCTCCGTCCCTGCGATTCGTTTCTGGACCTCCCTCCACCTCGATCACGTCTGTGCTTGTGCGTTTTTTTTTGTTTTTTGCAGCGCGACAAGAACAGGAAGAACGCCACCAAGAAGCAGCGCAACAGGATGAGGCGTCGCGCGGCGAGGGTCAAGCAACCCGTGAGTACGAGTGACCGCTTTTAAGTGTGTGTGTTTTCCCCCCTTTTGTTCCACAGAACACCAGAAATCCATTTCTTTTCTTCTCGTCCACCTCTGGCGTATCTGTTGTGTTTGTGTTTGCCTCGTTTTCCTCTACAATAGCCATGGTCGAGTCGTCTTGTGGGGGTAAATCGACCTTGCTACATACATTGGGAAGGCGACGGATGTCTTTCTAGGTTGACATGGCGGGGCAGAGCAAATGTCGTATTACGTACGTGTCGTTGTTCTTGTCCGTGATGACCCCTTGTCCAGAAGGGTGTCCTATCCCGCACTCTTGGAGGGAAAAAGAAACACGTTCTCTTGCGGCAAGTTCATCCGAACTACCGTCCCCGATGTGAAAGAAACATGGGTCCAGTATCCAGCAGATTTCCCCTCACCCGACACGCATCCTGTCTAAAACAAGAAGCCCGGGGAGAGAGAGAGAGTCCCTCTTCTCCGTACAAAACAAAGGGACTGCCATACACCGGCCGTGGTGGTATGGAACGAATTTTTTTTCGCCTTCCCTCCCGAGTAGAGGCCCTTTTTCGGAACATTTTTTCTGCTGTTGTTTTCGGTGTTATTTTTGTTCATTCTCCTGCGTGTCGCGCGTGTTGTTCCTGTATATCCCTCTCTGACCACCATCGCGCTCCCGTCAGCTTAATGCTGGTGTACAATCAATGCGCGCGCGTCCATGCACGCACGTGTCAAACCATGAAGGTCGACAAGATCTTCGTCAAGGACGTCCGCGTCCGCAAGATGTCCAAGAAGAAGCAGGCGATTGAGGAGGCACGCACCGTTCACCCGGAGGTAAGCCTTCTTTTGCGCAATCCGTGCTTTGGGGTTAGGGTTAGGGATATAGTCTGCGTGCCCCCTCCGTATTCTTTTTCTAGATACTCTAAGAATCCTGCGTAAGGCGGTCCTTCAAACGTCGAGACAGATCGTTGAAAATGCACGTTCGAAGCCTCATGCCGAGCAGTCAAGTTTCCTGAACATCGTGAATCTTACGGTGTTGAGGCAGTCGGGATCAAGCCGCACATTGCTCCCGGTAGAGATATACCTGGTAGGTACGAAATGTGGGCATACTGTTACTTGGACGCGTGGGATTCCTATGCAGTCAGTCTCCAAAGAATTGTCTCCGAGGCCGATATTCTGGTAACCTCGCGAAATTCTTGCGTTTGAGGCGTGAGCTCGAAATCCCGAACTGGGATTTATTTTTTCTCGCATGTTGCTGTTGCCCACGAACGATATACGATACTGCTGTATGGGTGTGTTTTTGTTGTTGGGTGGTATTTTTTATTTTTCAGTGAATGGGACGCAATATATATATATATATGTACAAGGTCTCCCTTCGGGACGTGGGTGTCTACCCTCCCTCAGGTGACGCAAGACCACGTGCGCATTGCCCCAAGAGGGACTATGTGTCTTACAACGCTTGTTTTTCCGCACAAAACATCGCGCACGTTGTTGTTCTACATTGGAGCCAGCTCGAGCGGACAATAGTTTGGCAGCGAAAACTCAGACTTCCATGCATGATGTCTTTGATTGATGATGGTATTAGATTACCGATGAAAACCGAATTTGAAGCCGAAACAACACCACAAATGGGACATGTTCAACACTGCGGCTGGGTGCATGCTCTCAGACTTTTCTACACTTGGCCCGCTGCGAATTGTAGTAAACGTAGGTACTGCTGTTGGACAATGCGATGACACGAAGAGTCACAGCCATGAATCATCGAATGAATGAACGAACGAACGAAAGTGGAGAGGCAAGAGGCAAATATTTCAAACCGTCGTATTTGATGGGTTTGATAGGTTTCAGAATTGGTTCGCCAGGCTTTGTCAGCGCGGAACGCGTCCCCGGGGTTTTGAGCCAGTTTTCGCAACTTTGGCCGTCAACCACACGCGCCACGGAGGCCTACCGAGCTCCGGGCACGGTCGTTAATGTACCGACGAGCCTCCTGCGTGCCCCTGAGAAGGAATTGCGATGAAAGACTCCCTGCCGCGAGAGAAAGAAACTCCGAGGCATGAAAATTGACCAAATCTTATATGTACATATATATATAGGCGTCGTCCGCATGAGAACGCGCGGGCACTCGTGCTGTGTAGACCGACTTACTCACGCGTCTGCATTGCAATATCAATCATGGCGAACAAAAGTCGACCCTCCACACACACCACTTCTGATCTTCCTACTGCACCCGCTTCGAAAACGTTCAAATTTTTTTTTTTGTCCTCCGGCACTGTGATGCGCGCGCTGTACGCTCCTCACGGGGGAACGGTATTGCGATTACCACAACACGCAGGCCGCGGGAGGCTCCATGAACGCGGGCCAGCAGGCCATGCTCCGGGCCCGCCAGTTGGCCATCGAGGCTATGACCGTCGAGCGCCAGGCCGCCCTCACCGCGTCCCGCGCCCGGCGGGAAGCGGAACTGCGGGCGCAGCACCAGGCCACCCTGACGGCCGCCCGCGAGCGGCAACGGCTGGCGCGGGAGGCGTTGGCGGAGGCCCAGGCCAGGCAGGCGGCGGGGACCCGGGCCCGCTTAGTCGCGGCGGTGAAGGCCAGAGCCGAGCAGAGGGGTGCATCCCCGGGCGTCGTTTCGGAGTGGTGGGACTCCGTGGCCGCTGCTGCCGCCGCCCCCGCCGCCGCCCCCGCCCCCGCCGCCGCCGCCCCCGTCCCCGCCACCGCCGCCGCCGCCCCCGCCGCTGCTCCCCCGTCGGGTGCTGCGGCTACTAGGGGTCCCAGAATGAGATATACCGTGGCAGGGTTCGCGAACAACAGCATTATGGGGAGGGGACGATCCTTCGCCTCTGCCGCCGAGGCGGCGGCTTTTTCCGCCAGCCGCGCCTCTTACGCTGCTGCCGCTGAGCCCGTGAGGTTCTCCAATTCTAGCATTTTGCCCATCAGCACGCCTCGAGGGTTGGCCATTGCCACCGCGACTGCGGCCAGGTCTGCCGCCGCCGCCGCCGCCGCCGCCGCCGCCGCTGCCGCTGCCGCTGCGGCCCAGGAGGCGGAGCGGCTTCGCGCGCAGAGGAGGGCGACCGAGCGCTCCGGCCGGCTGGGTGAGGAGGAGGAGCAGGAGAGGTCGCAGCAGCGCGAGCAACAGCAGCAGGAGCTCAGCCTCGAGCGGACAATGGCGGCCGTGAACGCCGCCGCTGCCCGCAGGGCATTGGCTTCTATTACGCTGGAAGCGGAGCGGCTTCGGGCGCAGCGGCGGGCGGCCGACCGCTCCCGCCGGCTGGGGGAAGTCGAGGAGGAGGAGAGGTCGCGGCAGCGCGAGCAGCAGCAGGGGGAGGCCCGCCGCGGCGGCGTTAGTAACGAAGCGGCCGCAGCGGCGGCGGCGGAAGTGCCCTCCCGCATGGACCTGCTTGCGCGGCTGGCGGGGTTGGAGGAGCGCATGCCCGCCCGGCGCGCCGCCCCCGGCGCGGCGTCTCTGAACTCGTCGGCGTCGCCTTCGATCTCGGCCACGGCTAGGGTAACGAGGTCGGTGACGAGGAACACGAGGTCGTCGTCATCGTCATCGTCCGCGTCCGCGTCCGCGTCCGCGTCCGCGTCCGCCACCGCGACGGAGGTCGTTAGGGCCGCCCCCACGTGGGGTTCTCCCCGTCACCGTGTGTCGGAGGCGGTGGCGACGTGGCTGGCGAACGCCGGAGGCGGTGGCGGTGGTGGTGAGTCGTCCGCTTAGTGCTTACTCGGCCGCCTTTTTTTTTCGCCGAGCGGCCGGCCTGGGAAGGGGGTGACCGCCCGTACGGTCGGCCGACCGCTGTCGTCGATGACTGCTAGGCCTTTGGAGGGAGAGGGAGGACCCGCTGCTGCTGCTGCTGCGGCGGCGTTCCAGGGGGGCGGGGGGGCGGAGAACGCGGCATCACAAATGCCTTGCCGTGCTGTTGACACCGCCGTTTCGATGCAGCACTTGAGCAGATAACCCCCTGAGGTTACTCTCGTTAGTCGTGGCGCCCGTTGGCCCGTACACGCTGTGTGTTTCCTGAGGGTTGCAGTGCTGTTAAGGGAGGGTGTCGGTGTTGTCGTCGTGGTGGCGGTAGCCTAACGAGCCAGTGGCAATGCGGAAGTCTTGACAGTCGTTGGGGAGCTTTGACTGTGGAGCATGTCGGTGTTACGGTCGTGCATCGGGCAGATCAACCGGTCTATCGACTGACCCCGGATGTCTCGCCCGCTCTCTTGGGAGTTCGTGCCGTCATGGTGTGGGCAATAAATGAATGAATGGTGGGAAGGGATATGGGGAGGGGGGTAAGATCGTTGTAACGGGACAGGATGCTTGTCGTGTTGCCTGTTTGGGCTATCCTCTGTCTGGTACGCAAACCCCCATATGCTATCGGAACGTGATCTCCAACCCGTGGATGCATAGGTTGCAGGAGGGCGTCGTATCCTTGCGGGTCCCCTGGTGCTGTTTCGCTGTCAAGCACTGCGGTGCGTTGGGCGATGATAATGTGGGGGATGTTGTGGTGGGGTAGTGTGGTGAGGAGACTACTGCTGGGCGGGCGTGACGAAGGCGGTGATGGGGCGCAGCACGCTGTATATGGTACGGAACGGGAAAGAAGCGGGACGGCGGTGTTTCGGGAGGAGAGGGCGATGGGAGCCGGGCGACAAACGCTACGGGCGAAGCGCACGACGGCAAAAACCGACAAAAAAGTAAAAGAACAATACGATCTACAATAAAAAAATGGATACTTGACCCGTAGGGTTCCCGATGGAACAGGCGGGGGTGGGGGTTACAAGTGGGCAGCGAGGGAACGAGGGTGGTGTCTTTGTGGAGGCCGGCGGGGCACGGGTTCGGAGACACGACGTGCGGCGACACCTCTGCCGGTTGGTTTGCTAAGGTTTATCTTTGCGGTGTGGACGAGGCAGGCGACTAGGGGAGGATGGAATTGTTCTTGTCTAGGGTGTCGTGTCGGCGACTGCGGTGGGATAACCAGGGGTGGGTTTCCAGCTGAATTTTGCGGGTGTTTCTGTTGGACTGGCACGACCCTGCGTCGTCGTTGTTGCTGCAGAATCTACTCAACTGATCGGGTACTCTCAAGGGGTCCCGTGCATGGAAAACTAGAAATGGCGGTTGATGTAGTATGAAGCACGTGAGGTCGAAAATGCCGAGTGACAGAGAAGGGCGTAAAAAGCTGCTTTCTTGAAAGCGCAAACGCGATGTTGGTTTCTGCAACTCAAGTGGGAGGACCAGTTCTGTTTGTTTGTTATCGTGAAGGCCGTAGTTGCGCGGTCAGCGTCAGGCGGAGCACTCCGTTTTTATTCATACATTTTTTTTCTTCTTGTACCGAAACAAGTTTATCGAAAATTTAACTGTATCATATGTATCGCGGTCAGCAACAGCGTTTGTGCTCAACTTTGCTTGTGCTGTTTTTTGTGGCGTCTTTTGTCGATGAGTTGTGCTACGCCGAGCAACACTGTCGGTGTTTTACTGGGATAAATTATCGTGAGGCGTATTTTTGTCGGTGGTGTTTTTTTTGTTTCCGGCGTCATGAGAAGCCAGTAAGCGTTTACGAGTGATGCTTGCGGTATCATCGGTTCTGCGACGATGGCGATGCAGGAAGGTGAGTGCCTGCTCCCTGTCTGTCTGTGCGTGGTTGGGTGTGGTGGCAGCATCATGCTCTTCGCTGTTGTTTCTGATTCTGTGCGTGTGTGTGTCGATGAGGTGTCTGTTGCTTCCTTTTCCGCGATAAATTAGAGGTGCTTGCCCCTTGCATTGGTCCTTCGTGCATGTTGCAGTATATTGCGGTGGGCCCTCCCATCCACACGGCACTCTCACGCACACGCTTGCTTTCTTCCGCAAAAGAAGCTGTGCTGGTCTGTACGCTGATGATGTATGCGGCTGTTGCATGGGCTCTCGGTGTTGGTGTTCTCCGCGAGACGCCACCCGCAAAGGCTTGGGCGAGCTGGGGGGCGCTGGCGCTGGGGGGCACACAGACAGCAGTCGCGTTCTTGCAATGCGTGGCGGCAGTATGTATTTCCGTGCATGGGAGGGTGGAGGGTTGACTCTGTTACGCCCCC